CACACACACACACACACACACACACACACACACACACACGTGCTCACAATAGTGCTCTTGCCCTGCCCTGCCCAATTCCCACCCCAGGCACGAGGAAAGGTGCCCAGCCCAGCCTGCCCCTGGTCACCAGCCGCTGCCCAGGAGAAGTCGGGCCAGGCACATGTGGGTGGGTTAGTGCCTGCTCTAGTCTGTCCACCTTGCTCCTGCACAGCAGCAGTGGTGCTGCTTGCCTGCGAAAATGCAAGTCTCTCAATGCAGCCCAGCAGCTTCTCCCCAGAGCTTTATTTCTGAAATTTTCACCAATACTGCTACATACTTCAACTCAAAGAAAGGGTGCCAAAATACAAGTTCACCCAGGGTGCCATTTTCCCTAAGACTAGACCTGGATGAGTGATATGGATAAATAAAATCAAGCATTTTTTTTTTTTGCCTCATAATATCAAGGCCAGAATATCTTCTTATTTGTCATCTCTGTGAATATACACAGCAGGGGATAGCGGTAAAAAAAAAGAAAACACAATATCTGGGCATAAATATATTTCAGTTTTAATAAATCCCGCATACTTAGACTTGATGGTATATATTCTGAGTCTAGTGGGTACCCAAATAAGTTAAGGATCAAATTATTAACAGGTAGTAACAACAACAGAGTTATATGGTCAGTCTAATTCAATATGTAACATGCTAAAAATATGTCTTTGTATGAAGACATTGACCACATCTGAGCTCCTGTTGGGCATGATTTATTTTTATCTCTCAAAACATGAGCACTTACATTGCCTTTTTAGAAAACATCTTTACTTACATATCATCGAAGACAAGCTTTGTTCTTCTGCAGTCCCTCGGTGCATTGGATAAAGGTGACCATGGCTCTGTTTGGAACTGTGGCTTATTGCAGAGAACATTTTCTGAATTGATATGAATTGCTTTCTAGGCAACAAAGAATACAGAAGGCATTGAGAAACTGGCCACTGACTTAAAAAAAGCAGCTAATAAATGATGGAAGCTTCTTTGCATTGTGCTGTAAATTGCAGTTAGTTTGCTCTCTATTTCATCAGGGAATATGTACCACTATTTTGCGACTGATAGCCACAAATTAACAGATCTTGCTCACAGCTCTCTATAAAAGCCCCTGGAGTTTCAAGGTGATATGCAGGAAAAACAGAACTGCATCATTAGTTCCTAACTGAAGCTCTATAACACAATTGGGGTACATGCAGACATTTGGGGAGGTTAGGGGAAAGTTAGATCAAGTTAAAAATGGCCATTCAATCTAAGGTAATTCTGAATGGGGTGGCTTGTGGGAGGCTTGCGGGGATTAGGGAGGCAAATGGGGTCCATCGGGGTGGAGTTGGTGGGATTGCGGGAGGGCTTGCAGGATCCATGCAGAAGTTGGAGGGTTGGTGGGGTCTGCAGGAGTGCTGGAGGGATTGGAGAGGCATATGGGGTCTGAGGGGAGGGGTTGGGGGGGATCATAGGTATTAGCAGAGTTGGCGGGGTTGCTGGGGTCTGGGAGTGTTTGTTGGGATCAGTGGTGGGAGCTGGAGGGGTCTGTGTGAGGGCTTGGGGAGATTTTGTGGTGCAGTGGTGTTGGCAGGATTGGTGAGGCTCTCCAATCCTACCAAACCCCTCTGGACTCTGCCAGTTCCTCAGTGCTGCAGAATTGCTCCTGATCCTGCAAACCACTCCTCGGGCTAGTTTTACTGGCATTCACCTGTCCCACGAACCTGATGGAAGTAAATTGGGGTGGGGGAAGGGCGCAAAGATTGTAGGGATTGGCATCTCTGTGGAGGATGGTTTGTAGAATTGGGAGGGGGGCCTGGTGGTTCTGCTGATGGAGAGTTGATGGGGTAGGGGAGGGCTACCTTCTCCTTACCAGGACCAGGGGCTATTTTTAGCTCCCCCATCTCTAGATGAAAAACACCCGCCCCAGAAAACCAGCTCCCTGGATCTTAGCCACCCCTCCCCCCAACCTGACTCACTTCCTTAGCTCTTGGCACCAGCAAATGCTGGTAAAACAGGCATTGGGGGTGACTTGTGGGATGGCAGTTTTTCTGGGCTCTGGGTTTGGCGGGGCTGGCTGTAGGGAGGTTTGGGTGCTAAAAATAGCCTATCTGGGGTCTGGGGGAGGGCCAGGAGGTTAAAAATAACCTGGTAACAGGGGGCAGGTAGGGAAAGTGAAGCTCTAGGGCTGGGGCGAGCGGCTGGCCTTTTCCAGCCCTGGTGCTGCACTGGGAACTGTACAGAAGTTTAATTAGATCCTTTGGCCGCAGAACGGGGTGGGCTACCCGGGCCACGGCCTGACCAACTTTTAGCATGTTAATTTATATAACCCACAAATACACAATTGTCATTCTGGTTAAAACTGTATAGCTATTTTTTTAACTGCATAGCTAGCTAAATTAATGTGTTAAAAGTTGGTTTGGCCATGGCCCAGGTGGCCCACCCCATTCCAGGGCCTATGGTTAGATCACTCTCACCAGACCCAATTCAAGTTAGATTGGGTCAGTCATTTTTAGACCTATCTAAACTTCCCGAACTTTTGTACAGTTTGTACTTAGACTGACCTGGATCTAAGTGTAATGTCTGCACCTGGGTGGCCTAAGTTAGCTAGAGTAACTGTTTTTAATGCAATCTAACCTCCCCCATATCTCCCTGAATGTCTGTACCTAGCCTTTCTGTAATTATTAAATAACAAGTCAGATGTGGCATGTTAGGTCACCTCTCTGTGCTTTGGTGCTTTGTTGTATCTTTCCACTAATTTAGTCTGTTATTCTTGGTACTAGTAGTATCAACCCCCCTCCCCCGAATTCCTTTTGTTTCAGGTAAAAGAAGGAAATGAAATGAAGGAGTGAACAGGAAGCTCCATCACTTGCTGCCACGCATTCTCTGATCAAAATCCAAATGATCACTTGGCTATGCCAATTAGGCACCAGATGGACAGATCTGATAAAGCAAACCCAACTCTCAACGTTTATAATTTGTGAGCTGTCAGACTGTAGATGCCCTATCCAGAACAGTTTAGCAGGTTCAAGTTTTCAGATGAATAACCAAATACATACAAATGTTATTACAAGGATTTTTAAATGCTGACCAAATCGTACATTGCCTCCTATGCAGAAAAATGCAGATAAATGCATTTGCTAAGGGTGATAAAGCAAATGCTTTTTACTTTTAATTCCCAACATGCTGGCCTTAAAGGAATTTAAATTGTTTTCCAGATACCCAGTAAAGAACCCTCTCATTATTTTGAATGGGCTTGTAAACCTTTACACTTGGATTTTAGAAATGAAAATCTTAAAAAAAAATTAGGTTTAATCCATGAAAAAAACCTAGTTACTACAATATGTTGAATGTCTTTTATGGCCTATTTTTCAAGTACTTAATTTTATTTTAATTTATTAATCATCTGTGAAACTCTAGGAACACTTAGCTGCTTTATTTAGAAGGTATTTTAGAAAAACCTCTAAAAGTTAAATTCAGAATAATAACTATTCCCCCACTCCTTTCCATCTTCTAAAATTCTGCCTTTTCTAAAAGGACTAGTTGTTCCCTGAGCAGATGATTAAT